TACTTTCTATATATAGAAGGCATGAGACCCAAGTTTAAAGTTTTGTTTTGTTTCTAATGGGGAGGATCCCCTCCCCAGTCTGGTGAGAGGTGACTCTGTGTGTCTAATAACCTCATTTGGAAATAACAATTCAAAGTCCATCCCCTAGGAGGTTTGTGGGTGTGAGTTCAGGGCCAAAAGTCCCTCTGAAAAACCCCAGCCCTCCAGTCCCTGGTTACAATTTTTATTTGAAAAGAATGCTTTTCATTCAACTAGCACAGATTAGCAGTGCTAAAAAGAAAGTAAAAGCTACACAGTTTCAGACGGTGCCATGCAGAATAATCTGTGTTCACTGATACCTCAAGGACAGGCTCCCTTCTTTTTGGAAGGTTTTGTTTCCCACTCCCCCTCTATGGGACCTGTGAGAGTTGTCTCTTCTGCCTCGGAGTGTTGGCTGTAAAGTCTACTCCAGACTCAGGTGAGACAAACAGCAGAACTAACATATTCTGGGTATGTTATAGTTGCCAGTGTTCTGTGGTTTTGAATGTCTCTGGAGGATTATATTAAGCCTGATGGTAGGGATCTAAAGTCTCAGCTTCCATTCTCAAATGAGAAAATTGGGTTAGAGAGATTACATGATTCTTCCATCCCTGCCCTGGCCAGACCAGCAGCCTTACCCAGGACTTCTACCTCCAGACACTGGACTTCAACAGCCTCCTTCTCCTTGATGTGTGGCTAAGAGAGCCTACAAGCCAAATCCACCAAAGCTTGTGTTCAGGATTCCCTATATCTGCTGCAGGATGAGGGGGAGAGCCCAGAGAAGAGTCTGAGGTCTGTCTATAGATTCTCTGGATGGCAAGCAGACACTAATGCAGAACCCATCCTCCAGACCCCTGAACAGAGTCTTCTGTCAGAGGCTAAGGGTCATCATGCTTTGCTTCAAGGGAGCCAGGCTGAGGCCTGGCTCATGAGCAAACCCAGCACACCTCTACTTAGAGTTGCTGTGTCCACTCAAAGTGGCTGTCCACAGACCATTCATTGTGCCCTGGAAAAGTCACATCACCAGTACAAAAAGCTATGAAGGGAGCTCAGTTGGGCTACAGATCATTGTCACAAAGAAGTTTGGCTACCACACAAATAACACTGCCATTTTAAGAATTACCATCACAGAATCAAGTTTCTCGTGCACTGTTGGTGGGAATGTAAACTAGTGCAACCACTCCGGAAAGCAGTTTGAAGATTCCTCAAAAAACTAAACAAGAACTACCCTATGATACAATGACCACTCTTGATCATATACCCAGATTATTACAAGTTGGGATACACTAAAGACACTTGTACATCCATGTTCACTGCTGCACTATTCATAATAGCCTAGTTATGGAAACAGCCCAGATGTTCTACAATGGATGAGTGGATAAAGAAAATGTGGGACTGGGAATGTGGCTTAATGATAGAGTGCTTGCCTAGCATGCATGAAGCCCTGGGTTGGATTCCTCAGTACCATATAAACAGAAAAGGCTAGAACTGGTGCTGTGCTCAAGTGGTAGAGTGCTAGTCTTGAGCACAGAGAGGCTCAGGGACAGTGCCCAGGCCCAAGCCTCAGGACTGGCAAAGAAAGGAAGGAAGAAAGGAAGGAAGGAAGGAAGGAAGGAAGGAAGGAAGGAAGGAAGGAAGGAAGGAAGGAAGGAAGGAAGGAAAGAAAAATGTTGTGGTGGGGGGATGGGAAGGGATGGGAAGGGGAAAAAAGGAGGAGGCAACAATGCTTGATAAGAAATGTACTCATTACCTTGCTCATGTAATTGTAACCCCTCTGTACGGTATTTTCACAATAACAAAAGAAAGAAAGAAAATGTGGTACATATACATAATGGAATTTCATTTACCTGTTAGAAAGAATAATATACCATTTGCAGGGAAATGGATGGACCTAGAAAAAATATCTTAAATGAATTAAATCAGGCTCAGAGAGACAAATGGTGTATATTCTCTCTCATATGTGGAAGCTGGATTTAAATACAAACACACATGATAACATACGCAGGGTTTTATGCATATGCACACAGATAAACTGACTAAAGGATGGTATATGCAGGGGAGAAATCCAATAGGGTAACTCCTCTGAACAACTAACAAACTATCAAAAGAAATACCAGGAAGTAGAAATATGTTAAGGAAGTAAGGGGGGAGGAGCACACAACTGGAGGGGGGAAGGGTCAGCAATGAAATCATTATGTACATCACATAAAAACTGAATTATGTAACTTGAGGATAGGGGTGGGAAGGGGAAATGGAGGGAGAATGATGGGAGGGGTAACGTGGATCAAAATGCACTTCCTCATAACCTGACTTATGGAACTGGAACTTGCTTAATTTTTAAAAAATGATCTGGTTCCTGATCTTTGTGTGTCTGCGCATGCATCCGTGTACCAGTATTGGGGCTTGAACTCAGGACCTTAAGCTCTCCCTTAGCTTTTATGCTCAAGGTTTGCTGGTGTTCTATTACTTGAGCCACATCACCACTTCCAGCATTTTTGTTTTCTGGTTAATTGGAGATAAAAGTCTCACAGAGTTTTCTTCCCAGGCTGGATTTGAGCCCTGAGATCCTTAGATCTCAGCCTCCTAAGTAGCTAGGATTGCAGGCATGCGTCACCAGCACCAGGCTGGTCTCTGACCTTAGAAATTAGGAGACCAGGGGGCTTGGGAAGGTGGCTCAGTGGTAAAGTGCTTACCCTGCATGCATGAGGTCTGGGTTGGATTCCTCAACACCACTATAAGTAGAAAAAGCCAGAAGTGGGGCTGTGTAGAGCGCTCGCCTTGGGCTGAAGAGCTGAGGTACAGTGCCCAAGCCCTCCATATATATATAAATAAGGAGACCATGTGTAAAGGACTCAAAGGAGCCTGCAATAAGAGCTAACTCTGCGAGGAGGCTTCACACAGAAGAGAATGAGCAATGGAAGCTTAGAGGGAAAGAGCCACCCTGGCTGCACAACCACATGATCTCGTATGTGGACAAAGACACTCCCGCCCATCTTCCAGTGGGATCCCCACAGTAACCCTGGAAGCTAGAAGTCCTCTCCAGCTGGGGGAACAGAAACAGGTGTTCACTCCAAAGGGCCAAGGCTATGTACTGCCCTGCACACTGGCTCCCCACAGCCTCTGCGGAGAGGTCCACTTACCTCGGAAAGGGAAGGTGCCCAGTTTGTGCAGGTTCTCCTCCAGTTTGCCATAGTCTATCTCCGAGGTGGCAGTGAAGGGGGTGGTCAAAGCAGGATAGGTGCCGGAGATGTCCACTTTTCTCCCTACCCCTGAGGCCCAGCCCCTCACATTTCTGGACAAGCCCTTGCTCAGTCCCTGTCTCACAGAGGCCCAAACTCCTGGGCCCAGCATCTCTGCAGGAGGTTGGAGACCCAACTGTCTATGTCCCCAAGAGAGGCTGAGTTTGGACTCCTTCCTACCCTCTGTTAATGATCAATGTGTTTTGTTAAAAATTTGTAGCTCCCTGACTTGTAGGCTCTAGAGCAGGCCTGTGCTTGGCACCTCCAGGGTCAGAGGCAAGGCCTAGCCGTCCCAGGAGTCCTTCCTCCCTCTGGAGCAAAGCTGGAGAAGTATCACAATGCTCTGTCTCTCAGCAGCTGCAGAAGTGCCACAATCTTTGCTAGACAAACTGGTTCTTGGGGTCCCAACACTAAAAGGCATTTCTGATAGGACCTGGGCCTCCTGTAGTTCCCAGCCCCAACACGGGAAACACAGCAGTTGGCAGTTTCTAGGCAGTTCAGAGACTGGTGAAGCTGATTGGCTGAGCTGGCCTGCCCCTGCCCTGTGGGAGGGAGGCGCCAACACACTGGGTAACAAGCTGCTGTGAGAAGCCACACTTCACTTCCCTGCCAGGCATCACTGCCAAGATGGCCATGGGTCAGGCGTGTGCTAGCCACACACAGCTCCCTAGGACAGTTCTTGCAGAGTTCAGGGGAGCACAGGCTGGGCCTATCACAGAGCTGACTTATGCAAGGGCCAATCCTGGTGCCTTGCAGTTTGAGGAGTAAACAGAATGGAATGTCAGGGAAGAAGTAAAGAGAGATCCCCAGTAGAGAAAGGGGTTCCAGTTTCCCTCTGTTCCCAAGCCTTTCTAGGCCTCAGCCTTCTTCTTCTTCTACTGTGTGTGTGTGTGTGTGTGTGTGTGTGTGTACACGCATGCGCATGTTTGGATGCCAGTTTTGGGGCATAAATTCAAGGCCTAGGGAGTGTCCCTGAGTTGTTTTTGCTCAAGGCTACTGTTCTACCACTTGAGCCACAGTTCCACATCAGGCTTTTTGGTAGTTAATTGTAGTGTCTCATGGCCAGGTGCTGGTGGCTCAAGCCTTGATCCTAGCTACTCAGGAGGCTGAGATCTGAGGATCATGGTTCAAAACCAGCCTGGGCAGGAAAGTCTGTGAGACTCTTATTTCCAATTAACCACCAGAAAACTGGAAGTGGCACTGTGGCTCAAGTGGCAGAGCACTTGCCTTGAGCTGAAGAGCTGAGGGACAGCGCCAGGCCCAGAGTTCAAGCCCCATGACCCACACACAAAAAAAGTCTCATGGATTTTCCTAACCAGGCAGGTTTCAAACTCCTATCCTTACAGCTCAGCCTCCAGAGTACCAAGGGGTATAGACATGAGCCAATGGCACCTGGCTCTAGCTTTTATTTTATTTTTGCCGGTCGTGGGACCTGAACTCTGGGCCTGGGTGCTGTCCCTCAGCTCTTCAGCTCAAGGCTAGCACTCTACCACTTGAGCCACAGCACTACTTCCAGTTTTTTCTGTTTATGTGGTGCTGAGGAATCAAACCCAGGGCCTCCTCATGCATGCAAGGCAAGCACTCTACCACTGAGTCACCTTCCCAGCCCCTAGCTTTTATTCTTAAATATTTGGAACACAAATGAAAGACAGAATCATAAATAACAAAACCAACTTTTTATTGTGCTAATCTGTGAGTGTTTCTGGACCTCACAGAAGAGTGGTTAGGTCCCATTAGCTCTGAGGATCACTCTAGGACCATCTGGCTGCACCCAGAGGATGAAGGGGTTAGGACAGGCATTTACTGAGCTGGTACAGGCTGGGGAGTCTCTCGTCCACTCGCAGGTCCCTCAAATCCATTCTGCTCTGACTCTGGCTCAGGATGCTCCAGAGCATGCCGGGTGTCAGACTGCCACAACTGCACCAGGTCTGTGGGGGTCTTTCCTGCCTGAGGGGAACCACAAGGAGATCTATTCCTGGGTTGAAGTCTACCCAAAGGTGCCTTCAGCTATACCAATGATTCTCCACTGACGCAACTGACCAGGGGGTGAAGCCATTTTGGTGGTCATATCAGGGGTGGGGTGTGAGGTGCTACTGTTATCAAGTGGGCAAAGGTCAGAGATGCTGCTTGGACATCCTACCAGGCACAGGACAGCCCCCACCCCAACAAAGAATTCTCCAGCCTCCAGTCATAGCGCTGAGGTTGATGAACATCCACACTCTGAGAGTTCTATTGCTTTTCCTTGCATCCCTGTAGGGATTCCTATGCCCCTGTCTTGTGTGACTGCTTTGGGCCCCAAAGAAAGACTAGGGCCAAGAGACCTGGTCCTCAAAAGGAAGATTATAAGCTTCAAGGGACACTGATCCTTTCAAAACTCAAGGACTGCCAGGAACCAACACAGTGTTGTCATGGACATTGCAAGTGTTTTGGTTCTTTCAAGCCCTGCCCTCCATGACAATGGTCTCCTTGTGTCTACCTCCTTAGGATCCTTTTTGGCCTATCTTAAGGGCTTACAGGAAGCCCTCTTACTGGCCCTCCTGCTGTTTCTCCATACGTGTACTCTGGACATTGACATGGGTAGGGAGAAGTGGTAGGTTAGAATGGAAAAGGACACGTGCCTGTATTGTGCTTAAGGTCGGAGCCAATGATGGCTGAGGCAGAGGCTGCCCCAGGGCCTCCAGACCTTCCACTGTGCAAGGTTTTACTCTAGTTACTGAATCAGGGAAGGAATGAACTCACCAGGTTCTTGGTCATCATGTCAGCCCCATGCAGAAGCAGCAGCTTGATGATTTTGTAGCGGTTGAGCCTTACAGCATCGTGCAGGGCACTGTCTCCTTCCTAGAGTCAATGTAGCACTCAGCATGGCCCTTAGGGACAGTGGGTGGGGAGCTGGGTGACAGGAAGTGGGCTAGGGACCTTATTCAAAAGCTACAATTCTGTGATCCCACAAGGAAGCACCATTCACCCACTTGTGGCATCATTTGAGTTGCCCATCCACCCAGGGTGGTGGTGGCAAGCAGCAGGGAGGTAGGTGGGCGCTCACTCTGTCTTTGGCATTGATGTCCAAGCCCAGGGATAGAAAGTGCTCCACAATCTCCACATGTCCAGTACGGACGGCCACATGCAGGGGAGTGCTCAGCAGCTGCGTTGGAGGGAAGAGGAGCTGCAGTTAGAGGGGGCTGGACTATGGTGCGCTAGTGTGAAGGCTGCCCCCACGCCAGCTTAATCCCCCTCCCAAGTCCTGGGCCCTAAAATGGGAGGGAATGGCAGCATTATCCAGTGCTCTAACTGTAAAGCTTCAAACTTCCCCTGAATGCTTCCTCTGGAAGCCAGTCATGGTTTCCCTGTCATCCAGCTATGAGCAACTGTTTCCTTCTGTATCATCATCATATGACAGAGAGAAAACCTAGAAACTTGCACATACTAAGCAAGCGCTTTACCACTGAGTCCCAGTCAAACCTTCATTTTATTATTATTACCTTTAGTTATACAAAGGAGTTGCCATTCAACAAAGCACTTCTTTTTAAAATAATTATAATAGATGCTATTTATTGAGAGATGACCATGTGATGGGGATAGCAAAAGCTTTATGTTGAGTAAGTAACTAATTTGCATACACTTTCCCACTTAATCTATGCAAGAACTCTGTGAAACATTTTATACATGAGGAATAGAGGCTCAGAAGCTTAGTTAGTTATTCATAATGTATGAATGAATGAATGGATGGATCGATGGATGGATGATAGATTAATAAATGGACAAATAAGTGAAAAAAATGAGTGGATGGAGAAGTAGATAAACAGAAATATAGAAGGCTGATGGAGGACTGAATGGGTAAATAAATCCTGTACTTCTGGGGCTGGGAAGGTGGCTCAGTGGTAGAGCGCTTGCCTTGCATGCCTGAGGCCCTGGGTTCAAGTCCTCAGTACCACATAAGCAAAAAGAAAAAAGCCAGAAGTGGCGCTGTGGCTCAAGTGGTAGAGCGCTAGCCTTGAGCTGAAGAGTTGAGGGACAGTGCCCAGGCCCAGAGTTCAGGCCCCACAACCGGACCCAAAAAAAAAAAATCCTGTACTTCTGATGGGGCCTCAAGTCTCCAACATACTGTTTTTTTGTTTTGTTTTGTTTTTGGTCTGGTCGTGGGGCCAGACCTCTGGGCCTGGGCCCTGTCCCTCAACTCTTCAGCTCAAGGCTAGCGCTCTACCACTTGAGCCACAGCTCCACTTCCAGCTTTAAACTGTCTTTTTTAATAATAATTTTATTGGGACTAAAGGATTACATAAATCTCACAAATTTCACAGTATTGCAGGATAGTGATGTTTAAAGTTACAAACACAATTTAACCTTCACAAGGCAAACTGTCATTATCTTAGTCGATATTTGTGAATTCTACAAGCTTTGACAGTACAACTATTTCTTCCGTGTTGCCAACATCATGTCTTTTAGTCTTTTCCATCCTCTGTTCTTCCTGCTCTGACCTCCAGAGCAGGTCCCTTAAGGGCCTGCAGCTACTTTGCAGCTGAAAGTCTAGAAACTCTAGACTAACTCACTACTACTTTCCTGCCACCAGCGCTTACCTGAACTTTCTCCCCCCCCTCCATGTCTCTTGCCCCTCCCCTCCCCCCTCCATGTCTCTTGCCCCTCCCCGCCCCCCCAATGTCTCTTTCCCCTCCCCTGGGCATTGCTTGCCCCACCTTATCTCTCACATTGGTGTCTGCCCCTCGGCTTTGCAGGAGTTTCACGACCTCCAAATGGCCTCCACGGCAGGCCCAGTGCATGGCGGTGCAGTCCAACTAGAAGGGAAGAATGGCAGAGCTGCAGGAAAGGGAGAAAGGACTCCCAGCCCAAAGGGTAGGGGAACACCTAGCAGAAAGGTACAAGGGATGGCATAGACACTCCAGGAAGACTAATCATGGCCTATCCCATCCAAGCCAGAGTTACAGAGGACGCTCAGGAGGGAGATTGGGCTTACACAATGTCACAGAACTCATAGAGATTGAGGCCTGGTCTGAGTAGTCTATTACGTTGCAGTTGTCCAGGGTTGGCAGGGAGAGGGGTCCTATTGGTGCTGGACCCATCTCCACCCTCCCACCCAATACCTGCCCTCTCTCTCACCCGGTCTTGAAAATCCACAGTAGCCCCACTCTCCAGAAGCTTCTCCAAGATCTCCATATGGCCCTCCAGGGAGGCTCGGTGCAGGGCTGTCCTACGGAACTGTCCCCAGAGAGGATGTCAGGGCCTGGCCTCTAGATCCAGGCCTGAGGCCATCTCCCTACAAAGACAAGACCTAGGCCTTGCTGTAACTTAGTTCCGAGCCCTGAGCTGAGTCTCAGTCCTGCCAGCTCTTTCATGCTTTAGCCAGGCCAGGCCTGGAACCCCTGCCTAAGGGACTTCAACCTCCCTCCTGCCAGCCCTGCCTCTGCCCAGGCCTAGTCCCTCTGTTGGACATGTCTGTCATGCTCTCACCTCTAGGAGTGCTTGATGATAATCTGGCACACCTTCAAGATGGTACTTATATGTCATTACTGACATCTCCATGCCAGAACTACCCTAAGGGTCCAGGTGACTCCTAAGTATAGAAGACTTTGGAGGGTAGGCCAAATTCTGCTGGCCTCTATTTCCCCCAAATGCGAGCACGGGGACAGGATGAGCGGCTCCCACCCATGACCGAGTCAGGGGAAACAAACTTCTTCCCCTCTCACTACTGCTACTTTCTGCTCAGCCACAGTGCCTTCTTTCCATATGCTAGTAATCTGGCCATGGGTGGTCTCCTAGGGCTTTCAACCCTTGTTGTTTCTTTTTGTTTTTGTATTAGCACAAAGCAAAGAAAAAAAAAGGAATATGGGACATTTGTTATTCTGGAGGTGTACCCACTTGCAGAAAGATCTAAGAAAGATTTGGGTAGACTGCTGGGTAAGGAAGATAGCATCTAATCTGGACTCCATTAATGCACCCAACAAATGCGCATAGTTATGTTACAGTCTTCCTAATGGGCTGAGCCAAGATCTAAGGCGATGCTGAAAGGGAGGCCGGTACCGGCAAGCGGGATAGCCATCACCTCATCGCAGGTGTCAGCTGAACCCCCATCAGCCAGGAACTTCTCAATGAGCTTCATTTTCCCCTCTACTGCAGCTTTCAGAAATGTCTCCTCATCCACAGGGCCTGTCTGTAGCAGAAGCATCAGTCATTGTGGTGGATGCTGGTGACCCAGGGCCTCTCTCTCCCCCAGCCCACAAAGGAGTCCTCCTCAGAACACTTACTATCTCCTCAGGTTCTGGAGGAGGTTCCTGGGAGGCGGCCAGAGCTTCCCGTTTCTTCTGCTTGCGTTTTTTCCTTAGTTCAATGAGGTTCTGGATCCCACCCACATCAATGATCTCACGCCGAAGGTCCAGGGATGTCTTGCGCACACGCTCCTGGCCCTGGGTGAGGATGGCCTATCAACCCTCCCCCAAGGCATGGACTTTGCCAGCCTTGGAAGATCCCTGAACTAAGCAGAAGGCAGGGATGGGGTGGTAGGGAGTCCTCAAAACATAGGGACCCAAGGTCCAGCTTTTCTTCTAGGACAGGATTCAAGAATCTGGCACAGATTCAAGAGTTGTGACTCTGCAGAAATACAGTTTCTCTATGGGTGCTGAGTGGCGCCCCTGGGGAAAGAAAGGAAGGGCTAGGCCATGACTGTCTCTGAGCACAGACACCAGATCCTCCACTTACCTTCACCTTTTGTAAAGCAGGACTCTGCGCCCCCAGGTGTTTCTCATCCTCTAGCACCAGCAAGTCCATGGGCAGCTTCCCGCGGGTGGAACCTTGGAGTTTCTAGAGAGCGGAGAAGAGCACCTACTCCAGAACCTAGGGGCTCTCTTGCATTCACCCGAAGGAGACCATACAAGATCTCCTGTGTGGCCTCCGAGCCCATGAAAGCAGGACTCCTAAGGAGCCATCGAAAAGGTGACAATTTCCCCATCCCAGCCTTAATTCCAATCCTGCCTGAAATACTGCTTACAGAGACTGGCATGGCCCCCAACCAAGCAAGCCTGAAGCACTGGAGTGAGTTCATCCACAGAGGATCAGCTCCAGGATGCCCTACAGATACCAAAATCTGTGCATGCCCAAGATCCTTGTATCAAACAAAATTACTTGCATATACTCTATACACATCCTGTGTGTATGTGTGTGTGTATGTGTGTGTGTGTGTGTCCATCTGTATTGGGGCCTAAGCTCAGGGCCTGGGTGTGGTCCCTTAGCTTTTTCACTCAATGTTGGCAATCTTCCACTTCAGCCACAGCTATACTTGCAACTTTTTGGTGGTTAGCTGGAAATTAGTTTCATGGACTTTCCTGTCCTGCTGGTTTCAAATGGAATGCTCAGATCTGTCTCCCAAGTGGCTAGGATTACAGATGTGAGCCACCCAGTATCTGGTTCACCCACGGATTTTTTTTTTTTTTTGTCAGTTGTGAGGCTTGAACTCTGGGCCTGGGCACTGTCCCTCAGCTCTTCAGTTCAAGGCTAGTGTTCTGCCACTTAAGCCACAGCAGCATTTCCAGTTTTCTGGTGGTTTATTGGAGGTAAGAGTCTCACAGACTTTCCTGCCTGGGATGGATTTGAGCCATGATCCTCAGATTGAGCCTCCTGAGTAGCTAGGATTATAGGCATGAGCCACCAGTGCGCAGCTACCTAGGGACTTTTTGTTGTTGTTGGTCGTGGGGCTTAAACTCTGGGCCTGGGCACTGTCCCTTAGCTCTTCAACTCAAGGCAAGGTCTCTTATTACTTGAGCTACTGTGCCACTTCCAGTTTTTCTGGTGGTTTACTGGAGATAAGAGTCTCACAGACTTTCCTGCCCAGGCTGGCTTTGAACTGTGATCCCCAGATCTCAGTCCTGAGTAGCTAGTAGTACAGGCAAGAGCCACTGGCACCTGGCTCACCCATGGACTTTTAAGGTCATCTATCCATGTGGATTCTATTGCTCCTCACTTCAGATTTGTGGGCTGACATACAGTAGGCACTCAATGAGTGTTAAATTGGATGTTAGTGCATGAAACAAAACAAAACTTCCACTTGGCTTCATAGTGTTGTGCAGGTTACAAGACAGGAGAGAATGCCCAGAAGTGCTTGGCACCAAGCCAGGCACTGGGTGGGAAGTTTGGCTTGGCAACACCCTGAGTCCTCATGGTCCTGGAGCTATATTTGTTAGGTGAATGAATGGAAGAGGACTGCTGTGTCCCTTTGCTAAGGGCTCTTGTCTCCCTAATGATAGCACTCCCAGAATGACACAGCAGCATGACTCCCCTGCCTGGAACCAGCCAGTCACGTGAGGCTAGGCCCTTAAGGGAAGTGAGAAGTGGAATTCCTGGAGATCCAGTCATGGCCTGGCCAGGACTGAGCAGCCTTTGTCCAGGCTAGCTCTTTCTTGAATCTGCGTTCATCTCTTCTTCTGTGGCATTCTAATGCTTCCCTCATCTGTACCCCCTCAGTCAACCACACTTCCTCTGTCTGAATGGTTTCTTTAAGCTAAGTTCCCCTAAGGCAAGTTCCTCTAGCTTTTGCTCCTCCAACAAGTTCTTCTCCAGTCATCAGAACTATCTTTCTAAAATGGGCCAGTGGCACCACTTTCCTTCACCCTACACTTAGCGGCTCCCCGCTGCCGTTTACTTAGCTTTGTCTGGTTTGTTTTCTTTGCACCTAGTATCACACTTTCTCATTATAGCCACATTTTGAAGACCTTAACTCCTGTCATTTCTACCCCAGTTCTGGTCTGTACTTTTTTAATTTTTGGTCAGGCATGGGGCTTGAACTCTGGGTCTGGGCACTGTCCCTCAGCTCTTCAGCTCAAGGCTAGCACTCTACTACTTAAGCCACAGTGCCACTGCCAGCTTTTTGTTTATGTGTACTGAGGAATCAAACCCAGAGCCTCATGCATGCAAGGCAAGCACTCTACCACTGAGCCATCTTCCCAGCCCCACCACCTTTTTCTTAAATTTTTATTTTGGGACAGGGTCTCACTTTGTAGCCCAGGCTACTCTGCAACTATGTAGCCCAAATAGCTTTGAGCTTACAATCTTCCTGCCTCTTACCATCACTTCCTGAGTGCTGAGATTATAGGCATTAGCTACCATCCTGTCCATAGAGAGGACCTTGAAGGCCCAGATGGAATTATTCAGCCACATTTTGTGCTCCTTCACAAAGTTCACATCTCTGTTTAGCCATTTCTGCCTTCTGTCTTGTTTCTTGACACTGCAGCTAAGGCTAAAGTGAAGAGTAGGTTGGCAACAAGAAAGCAGAGTCTGAGCCTTATCAATCTTCCACACCTCTTAACATAGGGTTCTTGGCAGCGCAGACATTAGATCAAGTGTTTGAATAAAATTTACAAGCTAACAGTCTTGTCCCACTTCTTTATGGTAGAGAAAAGACAACTGTGTCCCAAAGGCTTCCCTCAGCCCACATGGAAACGTCTGTGCTTCCCTTCTCAGCATCAATTCCTCATCTTCATTCTCCTGACAGGACCAAACCCTGGGGTTCTTCATGCCCCAGCCTTCCTCAGCAGCTGGGGGAACTCACTACAGCATACTCCTGACAGTTTCAGGCAGTGCCCAGCTCTGGCCTGTACAGCTAGCCAGTGTCCTGAAACCCAAGTGGGTGGGCAGGCTCTTAGGAAACTCAGCTTGGCTCTCCACTTTTACTGCTTCTACTTGGGGTACTGAAGCATCAGCGCCCCTCCCCCAGGAGTACCCTGGAACTATCTGAACCTTTGGGGACATCTGTCCAGCCCCCCCCCATCAAGTGCTCCCTTCCTATGACAGCAGAGATGGATCAACCAACCTCTATCCCAGCCCCTATACCCTGCTCTCACCTGACTCTCCTCCTCCTGTGCCAGCCGCTGCTCAATGAGTGCTGTGGCCCTCTGCACTGCCTCAGAGCCCTCCATGGTGCTGTCCATGACTGCTTCTGCAGGCCACAGGGCAGCGAGGGGCTTTATAGACAGAACATCCACCCCACCCACTAAGCGCCTTCGCCATGAGCTCACTGGCCCAATTCTCCACCTGCCTCCCCCACCTGTCACCTTCACCTCGGGCAGCCCAGGGAGTATGGAGAGTCTGGGCCAGGGAAGTTTACCCCTCCCCCAGCCCCAGGCCTATTAGAGCCAGAGGGCATAGTGCCCCAAGAGCAGAACTGTGAAAAGGAGCCTGTCCAGTTTCTGTCCTGGTTGCTTGGGGCTGACTGGGACTTAGCCAGGGCAGCTAGACAGGACAAAATGCTTGCTGAAACTACTGGCCTTGGTGGCAGCACCACCTGCTGGATGTCTAGAAATCCTGCCTATGCAGCACCAGCCAGGCGGCATGAAAACCAGAAGCAGGAGCCAAGAAAGGCCTGTGCCCCCAGAATGCCGTGAGCAGGCATGCTTGCTATGGGGCTCTTATGCAGGCCAGTGGTGGGAGTAGGGGCAGCTGCCACCTTCTGACCGCAGTTTCTGCTGGCCTCAGCTTCTCCACAGCCACACAGCACCCTCTAATGAAGGATCACTGAATCAAGTGGGATGTCCATTAACTAAGGATGGACTTCAGCCCTCTCTTCTCCCACTAGACAGAGGACTCCCAGGGGTACTTCAAGGGAAGGATCTCAGGAAGCCAGAGCCAGAGTCAAGGCCAGCTGACAAAGAACACAAGGCAGGTGGCTCAGTGGTAGAGCGCTTGCCTTGCATGCATGAGGCCCTGGGTTCCACTCCTCAGCACCACATAAGCAGAAAAAGCCGGCAGTGGTGCTGTGGCTCAAGTGGTAGAGCGCTAGCCTTGAGCTGAAGAGCTGAGGGACAACGCCCAGGCCCAGAGTTCAGGCCTCACAACCCTCCCCCCACCCCTACCCTCCAAAAAGAAAAAGAAGGCAGAGCTGGGCTACCTTGATCAGGCAGGCAGGCTGTGATCACTGAAAATGAAAAGTACTCCCAACTCTACTTATTCAGTTCCACACCTGGCATGCACAAGCTCAAGCTCTGGGTCACCGTGACCCAGGCTTCATCTGCCAGTGGACAACAGATGCCCCGGTTCTGGGCTGCTTAGCCCTCACACAGGCAGGCCCTCAACTAAACCACTGTGTCTAGGATTCTCCTTATGGTCCCTTCACAGAGTACAAGGAACTCCTTAGTCCCCTTTTCTCTGGTTCACAAAGCTGCAACACACACACACACACACACACACACACAGACACTCAATTTGTCAGATTGTGCTTTGACATTACCTGAGCACAAGCCAGCCCTCCCCTGAAGCAAAGCAGCCCAGCAGTAAGTAAAGCCAACTTCTAACCCTCCCAGCAACAATGGAGCCCAGGACAGGGGGCAGCATCTCCACTTTAACAAAGATGAGGTGGGTTCTGAGGTTAAGTGGAGTTTCCTGAGGACCTACAAGACAGAGGAGCAGGGATTAAGGCCAAGAAGATGAGTAAGTCTGTATGCTCAGTTGTGCCCACCTTCAAACATCAGAACTCACAATTCAAATGCTAGGCAAGAGAGAAGGAGCAAAAGGCTTTATTGATAAATATTCAGATATGTCTGTACACAGGGACCTGCTGTGGGGGCCACGACCAGGCTGCACACCCTCACCACTTGGGTTTCAGCCAGGAGATGGCCCCATGCAGACCCCTGCCATAAAGCCCAGCCATTTGGCCACTTGCCTCATCTCTGCCGATTGTGCTGGGGGGCAGGGAGAGGCAGAGGCCCGCCTCAGGCTCCCCATGCCCTGGGCTTGCCCGTGTTTCCTTCCCCTGTGGGGAATGGCACTGTGCCCAGGGCAGAGTCAGGGTGGGGGCAGATGAGGGAGACAGCAGCTGCTTCCGACCCTGAGCAGAAAACTGGAGTGAGCAAAGTGGCAGCACCAGATGACAGATCTGGGCTCCAGGGCCTCCAGGCAGGCCCCCATGGCTCAAACCTGCTGTGGGGAGAGGCGGGATGGAGGGCCCTAGGCCACCTTTTTTTCTCTGACAAGGTTGGCAAGGGCTGTGTGTGGCAGCACTGGGTGCTAGACACTGGTGAACCACAGTGCGCTGAGAGGCAGGGTCCCTTCACAGCTCACACGGAGCCATATGGTGGCAGAGGTGGCCCTGAAGATAACAGCAACTGGAAGGCAGCAGCAGGGTGGGGACCTTGTGCTCCAGGCCAGGACCCTCCAGGCCTGCTGAGGCCCTCCGTGGCCTCTCTTGCCAGCAGTCCACGGCCTGTCAGTCCTGGGGTGGCGGGGGCTGGTTGATGATGACCTGGATGACGAAATCCTTCTGGATCTTGGTTTCCTGAAGCCGTGTACGGTCTGTGAGCAGCTTCCCGGAGAAGAACCATCGTTGCCAGGATGGCTCTATGCCTTCCTGGCTGTGTAGCTGCCTCTTGAGCTGCCCCACTGTGTCGGGCAGGCTGGCATTTAGCCTCACGTCCTTACCCGTGGAGAGGCGCACCTTCAGTGGGAACTCACGGCGCACAGTGGGTGTGGGTTCGGGGGGCTCCAGGCTCTCCTCCTCCGTGTGTTCCAGCAGCAGGTTCACAGGTGGTGACAGGCAGTATATGGGCAGCTGGTAGCGATTGCCCAGCTCATCATAGCATTCACAGAGGGTGCCTATGGGAACGTGAAGGCAGTAAGTGCTGACTTGGAGACCCGCTATCTCATACTGAATGCTCTTTGCCCAAAATTTGTATATTGAAACCCTAATCCCCAATGTGACTATATGTAGACGTAGAGCCTACTGGAAGTAATAAAGTTAACAAAGGGCATAAGGGTGGGACCCTAATCCATAGGATTATTATCCTTATAAGAAGAAGAGCTACCACGCTGGTCCCTGGTAGCTTACACCTATAATCCTAGCTATTCAAGAGACTGAGCTCTGAGGAGCAGGAAAGTCCATGAGACTTTTAACTCCAATGAACAATTTTTTAAAAAAAAGCCGGAAGTAGAGTTATGGCTCAAGTGGTAGAGCATTCGCTTTCAACAAAAAAGCTAAGGGACAGTGCCCAGACTTTGAGTTCAAGGCTCAGTATAGGCACCAAAAAAAAAAAAGAGAGAGAGAGACACACCAGAGAACTCTCTGTCCTTTCTCCCTCTCTCTCTTCCTGACATTTGAGATCATAACAAGGTGGCCATCTGCAAGACAGCAAAAGAATCTCATCAGGTACTAAATCAGTTTATCACCTTGATCTTGATATCCCGCCTCCTGATCTATAACAAACAAATTTCTGTTGTCTAATGCTCCACAGCCACCTCACAGTCTAAGATAGCTCTGATAGGAACACAGGACCAGTTGGGAAGAGTAGGACTGACATTCAAAAACTCTGTGAGTACATGTGCTGAGTGCTGGGATGGACCAGTTTCCTTACTAGTATAAGTCAGAACAGGTGGGAATACATCTACTGAGCCTGAAGCACCTCCTAAGTGCTCGAACTGGACTAGATAATGTTAGGTGCATCCTGCTGAATCATAACACACATCTCTCTTAAACATGGCAAAGGTTCTGAGATGACACGTGCTTTCTTTGCTCAAGGTCACAGCTGGGAAAGTTAGGAAGGGAAAAGAATCAAGTTAAGACCAGGTCTGCTTTTTGTCCCCCATAGGATACAATAATGTAAATGAAAATTCAGGAGAAGTTTTGTGTCCAGCATATAACCAAGTAGAAGACTGGGGCCTTCCTTAGCTGTTAGACCTTAAGCACCTCGAGCACCAGCTTTGCTGGTGTATTTCTGTCCTCTCATTAGGCAAGTAGGGCCTGTGTCATCTGTTTCTTTGTGCCTCCCTAGACCACGTTCAGAGTGGGCTGCTCAAATGAACAAGTAATCAGCTTCACACACACACTCTTGCCTTTATAAGCATGGAGAGAGAGAAACTCCCGGACACTGGCTAATGACTTCCCCTGTCCCTCCCCACCCCCTGCCCAGCCATGCCCACCTCTAGCTACAATAAAGCCTACTCACCATGAGGCAGGGTGATGCTGGCTCCATCCAGGATAGCCTGAGCCAGCTCATGGTCATTGGCCTCGGCAGCATAGGCAGCAGCCTTGAGGGCATCCCAGATCTCCTTGCGACCCTCGAAGGCTGGTGCTGTGTCCCAGAACTCATCCCGTTTGCTCCGCAGCTGCCCATCAGTCATGGGGTAGTCACTCTTCCACTTGAGCCGTTCCTTCTTCAGGGGTTCATTTCGTCCTGGGCAAGACAAAGGGAAAGGCTGAGTATCTCTAGAGCCATTTGGGCTGCAATCTGCCATCTTCCCAGCCCCAGGCCTGGTCTGCCTGGCATTTTACTGCCAGGAGTATGTTTATGTCTGGAATCTTTACTTAGTGACAGGGAAGACTTTGAAAACCCAACTTAGAGATATGAAAATAACTGTCAGCAAAAGATGTACAGATGATCTCTGAATTTGAAACTATCATAAGCTGAAAATATCCTAAGTTGAAAACATTCAGGCTGGGTGTTGGCTTATGTCTGTAATCCTAGTTACTTCAGAAGCTGAGAATTGGAGGATTATAGTTTAAAGCCAGCCAAGGCAGAAAAGTTCACAAGACTATTTTTCAACCAATAGTTGGCTGCAGTGGCATCCTACTTTTGTGGAAGGATGAGATCAAGAGGTCTGTGGTTCCAGGCCAGCCCTAGGCATAAAAGTCCACAAGAATCCACCTCAACATTAGAAACTGAGCATGCTGGTACATGCCTATCATTCCAGCTACAACTATAAGTGGATCACTCAGGCCATTCCTGGGTAGGAAATGAGTCCTTACCTCAAAAATAACCAGTGCCAAAAAAAAAAAAAAGGCCAGAGGCATAGCTCAGTAGTAGAGTGTCTACATAGTAATCACAAGGAGTCCAAAGCCTACTCTTGAGTCCTGAGTCAAAAACAAAAAACAAAATAGCATGAGCAATGCACCTAACCTACAGACCAGTGCAGCCTAGAAAGAGCACTCTGTAACTGTAGATTGTCATTTGTTTCCCTTCCTTTTCAAGTGGCTGACTGTGAACTACTGCTGCCTGGCATTGAATGTCATACTGCAGATTGCTAGCTATGGAAACCATCAAAATTTGAAGGGTGATTTCTAAATGTGCATTGCTTTTTAATCTTCAGAGGGGGTAAAAAATTTTTAACTCAAGGACTGTCCACAATCTTTATTATTATTGAAACTTTTTGTTTGTTATTTTTGAGATAGGGTCTCCTATGGACCAGGCTGGCCTTGAACATGATTCTCTTGTGTCTCTCCCTTCCAAGTACCAGCATTACAGGTATGAGCCACTATGATACACAGCCAGCTTTGTGTGTGTGTGTGTCTGTGTGTCCATGTATGTGTGTGGTGATGGTGCTGAATTGAACCCAGAGCCTTGTATATGCTAGGCAAGTACACTGAACTACAGCACCTAATCCAATAAAAAAAAAATCAGCCATGTGCTTATGGATCATGTTTATCATCCTAAGCTACTCAGGAGGCTGAGATCTGAAGACCACAGTTCAAAGCCAGCATGGGCAGACAAATCAGTGAAATTCATATCTCCATTTAACCAGAAAACAGCTAGATCTATAGGCATGATTCAAGTGGTAGTGCTATAAGAAATTAAGTGAGGCTGGGCGCTGGTGGCTCACACCTGTAATCCTAGCTACTCAGGAGGCTGAGATCTGAGGATCGTGGTTCAAAGCCAGCCCAGGCAGGAAAGACCGTGAGACTCCTATCTCCAATAAACCACCAGAAAACCGGAAGTGGCGCTGTAGCTCAAGCACTCGCCTTGAGCTGAAGAGCTGAGGGACAGCGCCCAGGCCCAGAGTTCAAGCCCCACGACCAACAAAAAAAAAAAAAAGAAATTAAGTGAGGGGCTGGGAAGGTGGCTCAGTGGTAGAGTGCTTGCCTTGCATGCATGAGGCCCAGGGTTTGATTCCTTGGCACCACATAAACAGAAAAAAGCTGAAGTGGCGCTGTGGCTCAAGCAGTAGAGCACTAGCCTTGAGCTGAAGAGCTGAGGGACAGCGCCCAGGCCCAGAGTTCAAGTCCACGACCGGCAAAAAAAAAAAAAAAAAAAAATTAAGTGAGAGCAAGAGACCCTGAATTCAAACCCCAGTTCTAGTACACACACAACACAAAACTTAAAAAACCATAACCAAACAATTTCTGTAGCATAGCAAAAGCATTTCTGTTAAGTGTCAACTTTCTTGTCACCTAGCTCCAAGGAGCTTCCAAGGGGGCTCCACCGTGGTCATGGCTGAGGGCAGAAGTATCTAGTCTCTCAAGGCATTGCAGCCTCAGCATCCCAAAGAAGAAGGCAGAGGAGCAAAGCACAGGCTTCCACTAGAACTCAAGGCAGAATTCACTAAGGCTGGGTGGGGCTGCTACCAGGCTGTTCCTGCCAGATGGGGCAGGAAAGGGGCCGAGAATGTATGAGAATGGCATTTGACCACCAAGAGCAGGAAATGACCTCACAAGAGTACTTCACTAATGTAGCTATTTCATTCCAGTCTTGCAATGGCCAGAGGGTTAGGTAGTATGATCGCTATTTCACAGATGAAAAGGCAGATGCAAACAGCTTAAATGACTTGCCTGAGGTTACACAGAGTGAGGACTAACACACACACACACACACACACACAAACACACACACAGAGAATCTTATGTGTCCTCTGAATTTTCAGAGTAAGGACTAACACACACACACACAGAATCTTATGTGTCCTCTGAATTCTCAGCTACCGTTATGGGCAGAAAACTCTGTAGCCAAACAATCAATTTAAAGTGTTCCCAGGTAGGCAAAAGGAAATGCAAATCCTCTTCGGAGGAAAGTGAAGTTCAACAGGGCAAGGTAGCACATGCCTGGAATTCTAACATTCAGTAGGCTGAGACAGGAAGATCTGAGTTTGAGGCCAGTATAGCTAGTAAAGTTCCCTAAGCCCGGTTTTCAAAATAATTGGGAAAAAAACCAAGGCTGGAGACATGGTTCACGTGATAACAAGTGTTAAGCGCTGGTGTCTCAAGCTTATAATCCTAGCTACTCAGGAGGCTGAAATCTGAGGATTGCAGTTCAAAACCAGCCTAGGAAGTCCCTGAGAATCTTATCTCACTCAGAAAAGGCCAGGAATTAGTGTAAGTCAACATCCAATGGAATATTGTTCTTCCATAAGAAGGAATGGAATCATGCCATCTGCAGGAAAATGGATGGGCAGGAGATCAACATGTTGAGCAAACTAAGCCACACTTAGGAGGACAAACATCTCATTTTGTCTCATGAGTTTAGATCTTAAAAAAAGTAAAATGCAGTCAGTGCACTCACCATGCACTTAACTTGTGGGGCAGGGATGGGAAAGGGAAATGGGGGAGAACAAAGGAAGGGCTGGCAGTGTCTAGAAGCATTGTACTCATAACCTGACTTATGGAATTGTAACCCTTTTATACAGCCACTTAATAACAATTAAAAAAAGAAAATTGGCAGGGGTGGGGGGTGGGGGGGCGATGAGGATGAATGTGATTGTAGAACATCATATACATATGAAAATGGCATAACGAGGATTGGAGTGTGACTCACTTAGCATAGGAGAGTGCTTACCTAGCATGCTAAAGGACCGTGTTCAATCCCAAGTATTGGAAAAAAAATCATAACTAGGCATTTTCTTTTAAGAAACTTTGCAAGTTAATTATAAATTTTGTGTAGAAGAGCAAAAATAAAGTGGGAGAACCCACACTGGTTCATCAATGCTGGTCACAAAGCTATGGTCAGCAGAGTGCTAGAACAGGTCAGAACAATGGGTCAACAGAACAGAATAGAGACCCTAGAAATAGACCTGTGCATACAAACTTGCTGCAAGTGAGACAGAACACTACTAATGGGATGGTAGGGCTAGAAGATGAGATATTTGGCAAGTAGTGTTGGTGCTACATATTTTTCAAATAGAAAAACAGGAAATGGAATCCCTACTTCACCTCTGCTACAAAAATCAAACCAGGTCAAATATATTAAGTGTAAAAAGAAAGGAGGCAATGAAGAAACAGGATCACAATTCTAAGAATATTTTGGAGAGTGAACTTCTCCCTTCCACCCAACCAGCAACTCAACTAGCTTTTCCAACTGGCATGAGCATAATATGCATGGGCAGCAGGCAGAGTTTAGGTGAGATAAACAGCAGGGGCCCAGCCAGCTCCTTCTTGCACCTCTAATCCAGCAGAGGGCATCAGCAGCACTTGTGGGACTATGTTGGTTCCCTCCATCAGTGGGTCTTAAAAGCAGCCTAAACTCCCGGCCCAAATGGAGGAATGTCTAGGAGGCATGCCCAAATATCTGAGCCCTACATACTGATATTCTTGGGAAAAAACATAGACAAAAACAAAAGGAAGCTTTTCATTTAAGCACAAGCAAATCAGAAATGTAATTTCGGTGACTTAAATATATTTTATAGTTGGTTGGGAAAAAATAGGCAATGGAAAGGATGTAAGCATTCATATACTGCACATACTGGTGCAAGCCTTATGAAGGAAATCTAGTATGGTATCCCACCCACAACTGGTTTTGTGTGTGTGTGTGTGTGTGAGAGAGAGAGAGAGACAGAGAGAGAGAGAGAGAGAAAGAGAGACAGACAGAGAGAGAGAGAGAGAGAGGTGCATAAAAATATGAAAAGCAGCCAGGCACCGGTGGCTCACACCTGTAATCCTAGCTACTCAAGAGGCTGAGATCTTAGGATCATGGTTCAAAGCCAGCCTGGTCAGGAAACTTCATGAGACTCTTATTTTTAATTAACCACCAGAAAACCAGAAGTGGCGCTGTGGCTCAAGTGGTAGAGCCCTTGCCTTGAGCTGAAGAGCTGAGGAACAGTACCCAGGCCCAGAGTTCAAGCCCTATGACCAACCAAAAAAAAAAAAAGTGAAAAGAGAAGCATGCTGATTAAAATATAATATATGCACATGCAAGACACAGTGGTGAAACCCTCTGGTACAATTCATATACATTTAAAAAAATAAATGGCAGGAGAGTAAAACAGGCTCTGTGGAGGGAACAGGTATCAGTGAAAGGGGGGAGGTGAATGGAGAGGGTGAAAGATGGTGAATATGGTAGAAATACTTTGTATGTATAAAAGAAAATAGAGCAATAAAACCTGATAGAATTGTTTTAAGAAGGGGTAAAGGGGCAAGGGAAAAGGATGAAGGGGGTAAGGTTGATCCAATACAGTATATACATGTACAAAA